ACACACACACACACACACACACACACACACACACACACACACACACACACACACACACACACACACACACAAAACCCCACCTAAGGAACACGTGAATGAGATGATTCATCCGAGCACAACAGGTTTTTGCACGAGCAAAATTATTTAATACACTACTTTCCAAGTTGTAATTTAACTACTGGAATGATTCATTYTTTTATACCTTCAGACTAGTAAACATATTCATTTAGAATATAAACTATTATTTTATCTGCTTTTCATGATGGGTATTATTAGAATATTATCAAATTTCTTTTTATTTTGCTCAGATTAGGGGTTATTTTGTGATATTTTTAAAATGATTCCAACACAGCATTTTGCAGCATGACTTCTCATGTCACACAGAAAGCAACTCTTTGAAGAGTACCGGTAAATCAAATTACAGGAAGTGACTCAGTTGTGAAGGGATTTTGATTTTTCTTTCTCTCACACCTCCTCACACTATCCCTTTGCAGATTATTTCATTTTTTTGTCAAAGTTTTTTTTAATTATTTTTAACAAACCACAAACAAAAAACAAACTAACAAAAACATACACCCCTGAGAACCCTCCCATCCCTGCCCACCTATACCGGACCTACTAACAAAACATAAATACATCTTGTATTCATTTATCAGACAATACAAGACACAGGTTTGTGTACAAAGAACCAATATTTGACCTTTACACAAAGTTATCTGAGGAAATTTTCTCCACGTGGGATATAAATGGCTGCCAGATGTCWAAGAATTTGTWTAAAGATCCCCTAACAGTATATCTAATCTTCTCTAAATGAATGTAAGACATAACTTCTCTTAACCAATGACCATATACTGGAGGATGTGGATCCTTCCAACGAAGAAGAATAAGTCTTCTAGCCAGTAGAGAGCAGGAAGCTAACACCGTCCTCTGATATTCACTGAGGGAAGCTTGTGCTGGAGCCACCTCAAAAAGAGAAATGAGTGGTGATGGATGAACAGTTCGTCCAAATAGTCCTGAAAAGGTATCAAAAGATGCCTTGCCAATATCCATGTAACTTTGGACAGGACCAGAATGTGTGTAGAAGTGTGGCAGGAGATTGTCCTCAGCTATCACACGTCGGATCCAAGTC